GTTTATAACATGTCTTATTTAAGGTCTCATTTGTTTTTTTTTACGCTATAATGATGGAAGGGATTCATCACAGCCCGCTATTAGCTAGCTAGGCTAGTTTTCTTCTTCTTCCCCCCCTTACCCGTTGTTCTACATGTTGGGAGAGGCTCTCATGACTTGCGATGTACAAACAATACATAGGATCTATCTTATACTTATTTGCCATGCTATGCCATGCACCACGGTTTCCCTTTGCAGCGAACTCATGTGATATAAACAATAGGTAGTCAAAACGCCGTTCAACGTATATGGTCATGAATTCCTAGATCTGGCTTCTTATGCGCTGGTTTCTTTCCTCTGCTCTTTCCATGCTTTTTTCCCTTGGTTCAGGCTTACTGGGGGACTGGATGCCATCAACTCATGACGTTGAAGGGCTTCATCAGAGAGATCATCCAACACATATTTGCCTAGTTTACCCTTCCGCCACTCGGACAACACCCTGGCAGCAGATTCTCCCATATCCGGGACGCCACCGGCCTTCAGCTTGCCATCCCGCTTCGCCACGGCAAGCAGGAACTCGTGAATATCGTTTGTTGGACTGCAGTATCGATGGTAGAGGTGGGGATCCCAAAGATTCATCTTGTAAAGCAGGTAGTCTGCCAATATCTCATCTGCTATGAGACCTTTCTTAATACCCTGTACGAGAGAGATTTTGATCATGGTCTCTCCGTCTTCGACGTACGGGACAAAGACTCCTGGTGAATCGAGCACATATACACCAGCGCCGACACCTCCTCTCTCTTCCGGTTCAATAACGCGAACACTTGTTCCGATCTTACGGGTTACGCCTGCTTGGTCACCTGTCTTGGCTACTTTGGTCGTCCTCCCTGTTGTCCCAGTGCTTCTAAGGGCGTTCAGCAACGTACTCTTACCCACATTGGGCATGCCCACTATCAGCGCGCACAGCCCTGTTATTGAGTCTACTTCGTAAGCAGTCTCCTTGAGTCGTTTCAGTAGTGAGGCTGTGCTTGAGGCACGGTTCTTGTCCCAAAACATGGCTCGTCGCCCATGGAGCCTCTGCAGCAATTGCCGTACGCCGGGACTGTCGCTACCTAGATCATGTTTCGTATATACGATGAGTTTTGGACAGCCGGCAACGGCTTTTTCAAGGATGGGATTGTGAGTTGATAGAGGAAGTCGAAAGTCCCGGCACTCAATGACGAGAGATATCCTTGAGAGAACCGTCTTCAATTTACTGACGGCGGCTTGGTGATGGCCTAGGAAATAGGACTTTGGAACTGATGAAGGGACGCCAAATGAACGGCGAGGGACGAATTGGGCCATACTAGGCGTAGATTGCCATGTACATGTTCTGGTGTAGCAATCGAGGCGGACCAGGAAAAGTTCTGTTAATAGCAAATTATGGAGACTTGAGATATCGATATCACGATACTAATAGATCAGAGCTTGAATCAAGTGGCTACCTTACGTATAGTAGCAAACAAAGCCACTACCTGGTAGATTGTACTTCCCAGGTACCTTCAGCCAGGGTGCAAGTGTCGAGGTGCAAATGTACCTTACCATGCAGAAAAGGTGCCAAGGTACCTTCTATTACCCACACAGGTACGTCACATCAAGGATTAAAATCTCGTTATCAAGCGCCCAAAATTCAAACTGTGTTGGGATTATATAAAAAAGAATAAGATTAGTCCATATTTCAAGTAAACATAAATCTGTAAAAATATATTAATTATATATATAGGCTTTATAGCCTTAGTGGTACCTCCCAGTAGCTCTACCGGTCTAATTGTAGCTGTGACTGTACATGGTACTTCACTTGCTCAGCATCTTTTCAAATATACCGTAATATTCAGTCAATTAACATCAAAGTTACCTGTTCTGGGATTCCTCTTTTTCTGGTCCTTATCTAAAGTTTAGCATATCATTGAATAACTTTGAGATAAATTTTTTGGGGAGGGCTATGTTGAGGTTTGCCTGAACAAGTTGACCTACTAGCCGGTTTACTTGTTGCTACCAGTACGAGGTACAGCCTAGCTTCAGAAAAGGTACTCTAGAATATAGGGGTCATTTCATTCTCCGGGACCGTGACTGCCAGGGTGCCTGCTTTGTTCCTCATCAGCGATGATCTGCACGGAGCACCATCCATTGACTGGCAGGTCTCGGACCTCGTTTTACCATCGCGATCAGAGGACAGGATAGTCCGACATATCATGTCTTCTCAACCCAAGAAGACCGCGACGGGCTCGCGCTTCGTGCTGCCTGCCCTCAACCTGAATTTTGGCAGCATTACCGACGGCACCGACATCCCTCCCCCTCCGGAGTCTCCGATTGAGCCGATTACGCCCTCCAAAACGTCCAAGGCCAGCAACGAGAGCTCCGAGGCCAAAGAAAATGCTGCGACGGCGTACGAGAACAAGGCTGGCGTGAGAAGTGTTGCCGAAAACGCGCCACCTAGTCCCGCGGCGTCTGGCCGACAGGGTAGCGTCTGCCTTTGATCAGTTTTTTTGTCAATCCGTTTAATAACAATTTCATAGAAAGCATCACTCAAGAGAGCGGACGCAGCGTCGCCAATGCGTATCGCCCAGTCAGCCAGAGCGGCTCCAGCGCCGTGGAGTCTGAGAAAACGAAGCGCGCGAGCGGCTGGTTCAAGCGTCTAAGGTCGGGAGACACCCAGTCAAGAAGACGATCGAGTCTCCTCAGCCTCGAACAACATATACCCGCGACGCCCAAATTAACTTCCAAGTCTGAGAAACCACCTCCTAAGATTCCCCAACTCAAACAGCTCGAGAGCGACAAAGGCGCCTTTGGATCAAATTTATTCGATCATATTAAATAATAGCAACTCAAAGATATCACAAAAAATAGACATTTACCTTCAATTGGGCTATTTTTTGTCACATTTACAATCAATTTATTCTGTCGATAGCACGACTTCTTAATACAATTAAATTACTTGCTTAAAGTTCATACATCACCCAGCAATGAATCAGATCAGACTACTATCAATCCAGTTTAGGCTTATCCGAACTGGTGTGGATATATGGAACGCCTATGACTTAATTTTGCTGCAAGGCCGGATTTTATATCCTCCGATCCCTCTTATCGTACATGCAATGGTGCCATCGAGACTTCTCGCGCTTCAATCAAGCCGTGGCTTTGATTAAGTTTTATTTTAATACTACTATTCAGATTTACAATTATGGACCGCGAACGAGATGGCCGGAGTCGGAGGTAAGAATGTTATTCAATTCCGTTGTTTTACACATTTGTTTCAAGTTTGCGACCGCCTGGCGCTTTGTTATATCGATCGCGTGGTCATTGGGCAAAGCGCATAGCCACGGTCACGAACTGGATCTACTTACTTGGTGGAGACTCGTTTGACAGATGGCTAATTATCGCAGATATGATGACGGTGAAGTGGTGAGATATGGCGCCGGAGAGTCATGGAGGCCGACCCCGCGAGAACGATCGCCTAGGAGGCCGAGAAGCCCTATCAGGGATAACAGGGCCAGAAGCCCACCACGAACTAGAAGCCCTCGCCCTCGAAGCCCGATTATTCCAGGATCCGATAGTTACGTCCCTGGGAGATATCCTCCACGAAGGCGCTCACGCAGTGTCGGAGATCGATACCGGCGCGAACGATCCCGAGACCGCGAAAGCCCCCGTAGACGCGAGAGAAGTCGGTCTCCAATCAGAAGATCTCCGTTGCCTCGCCGAAGCCCACTTAGAAGAGAATCACCGGCTAGAGAGAATAGATATGAGAGGCCACGATCGCCACGACGGGAGTGGGAGCGCGATAGACCGCGCGACTTGGATCGCGAGCGTGATCGAGATTGGGATCGTGAAAGAAACCGAGTTAGGGACTGGGAGCGCGATCCTGATAGGCGAGACGAGAGGTTGGTCCAACATAATGGGTATTTTTATCTTGAAGAAGAAAGAGTATCAACTCACTCAAGACTTTGCAGAAGGTCACGCTCTCCGTTTGCTCGAGACCGCCGCCGCGAGAGAACGCCCCCACCTGGGAAAACGACACCTATCGCCGCACGAGGCGCACCTTATAGGCCACGCTCTCGATCACCAAACCGACGAGACGACAGATTTCAACCCTTCAAGCGACATTCGCCTCCGCGAGAACTTGGACCATCGTCCACGATACCGTCTCGGCCCGCTTCGGAGAGGGCAGATTCCCAATCACAATCACAATCTGCAAAGACTCGCTCGCCCCTTACATTAGAGGGCTCTCCCCCTCATACCGCTGCTGCGACACCCTCTATTGCTGCGAAAGATGCACAGCGGCCCAATACATACGAATCAGCCTCTGCTCAATCCAAATCACCACCTCGTGGCCCTGCAGCCTTACGAGCACCGCCTAGTGGTCCTGCCGCTGCTCGAGTATCATCAGCCGCCGCAACGATGCCAGCTCCGCAAACCCAGAAAACCCCCCAAACTCCGAGTACCGCACCTCACAGACCGGATACCACGAGCCCAACCAACCCTCCATCAGGGCCTCGAGGCTATGTGCCATTATCTAGAGGTTCCTCCTTTAGTTCTCGTGGCGGAAGGGGTGGATGGAACCAAGCACCACCTCGCCATATGTCTGGTTCAGCAGCATCAGCGACACCAAGTGGTCCTTCTAATATTCCCACTGGCCCTCGAGCAGCTTCTTCAAATGGAGCTGGTACGGGGACGTCTCCTGCCCAGCGGCCATTCAATCCACCAACCGGCCCCTCAGCCCAGCACGGGAATGGACCAAGACATAGCCTCGCCCAGAGTCTACTAGCAACGATGCCCCCCCTTGTTCCAGGTGGGAAAACGGATCCCAGCATGACGCCCTTGTTGCTTGGTGTCACCAAAGAGATTGAGCCTCATTATCGAAAACTGAGAGACGAGGAGGAAAAACTACGAGAAGAGCTACGCGTGAAGCAAGAACGTCTCCGAAGGAGCATGTGCGCATGGAACAGGCTTGAGCGAGATGCTCACGCGTGGGAGATGAGGAGTGACCTAAGTGAGAAGAGCATGAAGAATTTGGCTGGCGAGGGAATTGGCGGTGCGGCCTTTTAGTAAAGACCTGGGGCTAATGTGACGGCAATCGGGGGTTTCTTACGAATTCTCTACGTCTCTCTCTGTACATATAAACGATTCCACGATCAGACTTGTAAATATATTTAGACTAGGTATGCTCAAGCACCCTTCCTTACCCAACAATGGCCCACAGAAACCGTGCACATAAGTATTATCTATGATAATATAACTCTACTCCCATACTCTGTTTCATCATGACAAGTGCGGCACGGTAGTTTTCGGAGTTCGAAAAGGTTCCCACTTAAAGAGAAGCCTTTCAATAAAACAAAATAATAAATTGGTATCTCTAAAATGCAATGGTATTGTCGTCGAATTCGTCCTCATCTCCATCCCACTCCTCGCCCGAAGACTCATCGTCATCAGCAAGGAAATCTTCCATGCTGTATTGTAGCTCCCTCACTTTCTGATTATCAAATACAATATTGACGGTATTGCAGAGACCCTGGATCGCGGGCTCATCAGCAGTTGGGCTGTGCTGAACATCGGACACCGCACTGTCAGACTCCTCTGATATGTCACTCTCATCCTCGTCAGTGTCAGGCACTCTGTACATTCCCCTTCCGGGCTGGCCTCGCTGCAACTTGTTGTCTCTTCTGGAACGGCGGGGTGAGTCATTGGCGTGTGCTTCAATCCTGCCACTCCTGCGTAATGGAGAGGTCGATGACGGGGTTCGCTTCCTTTTGCGCGATCTAGTATGTTCGTGAGTGTCGTCTTTTTGCTGGATAGCCATGTTATCCTGCGGAGGCTCAACCTTCCGGAGGAATACACGTTCGACCATGGGTCTTATTTCAGACCTAAGAGTCGCTCGAGCCTGCCATGGGATGTCAAGCATAGTTTTAATGACTAGATGGCGCAGATTCGGTAGATTTCTACCGTTATCAACAAGCGACTGAATGAACATTTTTGCAGTGTCGACAAACCAGTTCCGGATATGTTCGATGTCGATTAGGCGAATACTAGCGGGCCATGTGGGCACCTGGTGTGGGAGAAGGGCGAAATCATACATTGGGTCTGCATCATTTAATGAATCATGATGTCGAAAATAGGACATATTCATGCGCAACTCTCGCAAATTGGGACAAGCCTCTTCCAGAACTGTCAAAAAGGCAAGATTCAAAGACTGGTTGTGCAGTAGAGTAAGGGCACGAAGGCTATTGCCATGGGTGAGGAGAAATGCGGCAAGGTCTTCAGATTTGATTTCCCAGCAGTTGATGAGTTCCAAGTGGTGGAGGTCTTTGGGTAGGAGGGGAAGCAGCCGGTCCGTCATGACAGTAGAAGACTCGAAAACGAGGTGCTTGAGATATCTGAGTTGCGCAATGGCATCCGCCATGGCATCAATGGCCGCGTTGTCTTCAAGGGTGATTTGCAGGTCGTCTCCATTATTCTCGGGCCTCTGCTGTAAACCTCTCAGCGATGGTACCTGGAAATTCGTAAAGCTCAGTCGCGTAAGATGAGCGAATGACGGCACTTGGTGGACTTGAACAATGTCGTTGATATTCGCAACATAACCGCCGAGTAGTCTCCCACTCCACTCCCAGCTTTTGAGACTAATAGGGGCCAGCTGCTCTGCGAGCGAGTCGTCAGATGGCGATGCAAGAGCAAGGAAGATGTCCTCTGAATAATTCCATCTAATATGTGAATCAAGCTCCCTGTAGGGTGGCTGGTCCAGGGGAGTATAAAAGATGAGTTCTCTCAGGCGGGTCAGGGGGCGGACAAGCTGAGAAATGATACCCTGAGGCACAATATGGATATCGATGTGAAGGAATTCTATTTTTCTCCGGTAGTTGAACCGTGTCTCTGTAGGACAGCGCTCGAGCAACGCAGCCAGCCGCCTAGCCTTGGAAGCATGCCTTATAGTCGGGCAGCGATAAATTGCCGTCAGAGCTGGCTCAGACAATGCCTTGCAGCAAGTAGCGACTTGGATGAACCAGTGTGCGCTTGGCGTGTCTGCGCCGCCATTGTCGCGGACATACAAGAACACATCAACCCAGAACTGGTAGGGAATCCGAGGATCCGTCCAATCTGAACCTCCAACCAGCGGCGCCTCATCCTCGTCTTTGCTCTGCGTCGCCGTTTGTCGCCGCTTGCTGGGAGAATTGGTGGCAGTACCAGGGCGGCTTTTGCTCTTCGGCTTGTCTCCTCTGCTTGCAGATGAAAGGTTCTGGGAGACTTTTGCCAAGCGTGAAGTTCTTTTCACCCTGTTGCCTGCCCTGCTGCCATGCCCGGCTGCTATTCTGGTGCTCCTCCTACGGCGACTAGGCGATCCGGGAGCTTGGTCAGATGTCGACCTAAATTCGGAAGCATCTGAATGGGATTCATCCGAATCAGATTCAGGAGGGCTATCGAAGACGCGTCGCCCTCTCCCACGGGGTGTTGAGGGTGGACGAGCGCCGGAACGAATGCCAGCACGAGAAGCGCCAGCCGTGGACTGACGACTTGGGTTTCGCCGGATGCTCTGATTGCTATTTTGGGCCAGACTACTCCGGCCGGCGCTGCGTGTCAGCGGCATTGTACCACCGATTTCACAGCGCCGGTGCTGGAAAATCTGTGAGGAAATATACGTTGAGTGCGGTGGTGTCCTGGGGCATAGAACGATATACGGGGTGACACCTTGTGACTTTGCTGTATGGCTTTGCTGGTTGTCGATGACCTGAGTTCTGTGCAGAGGCGATGGTTTGCTCAGGTTACCGTAGCGTTAACGGTGTTGCAAGACCAAGGTTTGGCGGGGCCCAGCATCCTTAAAAGTGTGCGGCACCGACGTTACCATGTGATAAGTACTGTGTAGGTACTCAGTACCCTGAAGCCAAAGGCTGTTTGTCATTACTGCAATGCCAGTGGTGGTATTGCATTGAAATCCACCAAAGGCCATGGAGGAATTGGACTTGAGAGATGAAGGAGGTTAACAGATGCCTCAGCTAGGCACTGGCCTTTTATTCTTTAGCATCTTACCTGAGGACGCCTAATGCGCGTGAGGGTGGGTTAGTGATCGGATCCCTGCTCTACTCGTATGTACATCGAGCTCAAAGCTGCTGCCGCTAACAGTAATTCGGCTGCAACAGCTACATCGTTGGTACCTCTCCGTGCTCTCGGTAAGGCTTCCACTTTCCCCTGCTACGAACCCAGGTACAGTCTACTTGTACACTCGGAGAGTTGTGAGTGTTTGGCAGGGTAGCACTACAGCTGCTAAGGTTGATGGCACATTCGGACCTTGCGTTAGCGCCATGCGCCATGCTTGCAGGGAAGAGACTCCGCATGTTTGTTGTTGGTTTACCAGTCCGAAGAGGTGCAATTAAATACTAATAATAAAGGTGGGCAGAAGATGCTTGTTTTCAAGATCAGTTATTATGGCATTATGAGCTTGGGTAATACTTCAGAGGTCGCTCTAAGTAACTATCTAGAGGCAAAGGCATTCATCCTCTATACTCTGTGTGTTTTCTGTTGCTACTGCTACTCTCTCGACATTTAGCCATTGAATTGACACACTGATAGCAACTTGCACATCCATCCTCAACCATCCTCTCGGAGACATGGGGTACTAGCTACATGTACGAGTAGCAATTGCCATCAATGCAACCCATTTCTCAGAGTCTCTAAGAGATACAGTCAAGTTCTCGCAAGTACTGCGCCACATCTTCACTGTCCTCCCTTTGCCTCCTTTTGTCTCCCTTCGGCCATCTCCCTAGGTACCTACTTGTCATCAGACAAATCGTCGTGTGTTGGCTACATGCATAACGCACCTACAGGTGTATTATGCTTATAACCGTGCTCAGCCCGGAAGTACCTCAGCGAGACACGGCCGTGCTCCCCATAGCACTAATGTGCCTGGCACGGAGTACTCGTAGGTACCATGACCGCCAATTTAAGCGTGGGCTTACACTGAGGTCCGCTGGCGCTAGGCTTTTCTGGGGCCGTGATACAAACCGGCAACTCCCCGTTTGCCTTGGTCTCATCTACACGCGTCTGCTTCGTTCTAGCAGCCCCGTCGCGCTGCCTGAGTCTCTTTCGCATTCTCGACACTTGCACCCGTCACGGTGTCGCTCTGCTTTGCTCGTTGGGGCAAGTCGCCTGCTTGATTTCTCTTTCTTTGTCGGTTCGCCATTTGCTGGCTGGTGCGTACAGAGAGGCGGCTGATATCCGGGCGCTCTCTTTCTCTTTCTTTCACACTTTACCTTTCTCTCATCCTTCACTTCAATTTTCATCTCCTGGAATCGGCCTGCGGCAACGAGGTGTCCAAGGCTCAACAATGCTCTAGAGCCGAGAATCCGCCTCTTTTCTCCAGCCATTTCTGTTTATTTTGTCTGACCTGTCTTGGTTTTGGCTCACCCGCCGTCTCGTAGACCACCTCTTCTCTCATGATTGGTTTCATCCCGCCATGACGGTGAAAACCAGGTGTCAGCAGCGTCGAGCCCCCTTTCTTCATCGCAACTGGATCAAAGGCGCCAGAGCCTTGAAGGACTCTGCAGCTATGGGCAACATAGTGTCTTCACCCATCCATAAACGATCGCATCACATTGACAACGACGGGGGCCCGCCACTCAAGAGGCGACGCATCTCATCGCCCGACTCCCTAGATGTCGACCATCTCATTGCTTCTCCCCACGCCTCCAATTCGAGATCTGCTTTACGTATCGAGGTTCTCAAGATTGCCCACAAGGATTCCAAAAAGGTCAGATCTCATCTCGCCCACGCTCCCCCCCGCGAGGTAATTCCCACCAAAGCTAGCTGCAGGATCACCATCTCTGAACTGAGTTCCGGTTATCCCCGAGTTGTTCACTGCCAGAGTCAAGTATGTGACTTGACAACATTTAAAAACCCCGTGGGCCCTCATCGAGTCGCCCGCATCGCCCTTCCCAAACCATTCTACATCCCTCAGGAAAGTATCCTCATCAATCGGGCGGATGATGCCACATTTGACCTGGCAGACTCCTACGACATTGTTGTCGAGCTAGAGGCTGCCCATGACGGACATTGGCCGCCACTGGACTCGAGCGATTTTGGCGCTCTTCCACCCTCGTCCAGCCTCGCCTCGGTCCCCGGCAAAGCATGGGTCCTGTCAAGCCGGTTTGACCAGATTTTTGGCAGGCTAAAGAGCCCCTTATCCTTGTCTGCAGGATATTCAGCACCTGAGCCCCCAGTTCGCACCGATTATGTCATGGATATTGATCTACGCTGGTCGGCTGGCTTCAAAGCCTTGAAGCGTCTGGAGAAAGGCTCCATGCCCTGTATCAACGCTGTGGATCCCGATGCTGACCCTTTTGTGGACGACTTGTTCGCTCCATCCATGAATGGAGGGATCCATAGCATCAATGGTCACCACGTAGATGAGTCCTCTATTGAACTCGACGATGACGGCCTAGATGGCTTCGATGGCGCACAAACCCCTTCAAGGTCGTTGAGAACTCGCGAAAAGAATAAGGTGTACAACCTGAAAGTCTTAAGCGACCAAGCTCAGGGAAGGGAAAGAAAGCGCCGCGCACGGGCTAGTCACATTGCAACAAATGAAGGCCGTGTTAGCTATCTTCTACCTTCTGATCAACCGGTTTGCCTAGACTATTACCGCTGTATAACTTGCGGAGTCTACCACCAGACAATGCAGCAACTGCAAGTCCACTTGCAAACCTTCCACCCTGCGTACAGCTATGTGCTCGAGACAACGAGTCAAGGACCGCAGTTTCGAGTCACTAGTCGCTGCGAGCCCATATCCTCTCCTTTGAAGCAGCAGTATCAGATAAACCCACCCGTCAAGCCATTCAACCTTGAAACATATCTGGTTGGCGACCAGTCATGGGTTTCCTCTCGACTTGGACCGGATACAGTGGATGATATATTTACCTTTTCGGGGGACAAGAGTACCTATGATAGGCTTCCTTCCCAATCGCCGTCAGTCACACAGCCAAGGCCGGTGCAGCGGCGTCCCGGAGCTCCCAGAAATGAGAAGATCCTGGTGCCCAAAATTAAACAAGCTCTGTTTGATCCCATCAGCAGAGCACGATTAGTCCCAGGCCAAGAAGTGCCAAAGAGGCCGCTGGACAACACATGGCTGATCCAAAAGCACCGAGAGAGCACAAGTGATTTTTCCGACGTGACTCCTGCAGAAAAGGAGTACATATGGGAGTGGGATGGATACATTCTTCGCCAAAGCCTCACATCTGCCGCTTATTTTCCTCGAGCCTGGTTGGGCTTTGTTCGAGAGAAGGCGTCTTGGCTTGCCGCCGCTGACCAACGTGTGCTAGAGTTTGGCAAGCACGCTAGCTTGCTCCGAGTCCGCGATATGTTGGATGACAATATCATCCGGGAAGCCTTTACCCACATCAATAATGCAAGAATAAGGCCACAAGAAGTTGCTGGTGATGAGAGTGGCAATGCCCAAGCTGAAGATGGGAGTGGCAATGCCAAAACTGAAGATGTAGATTCAAAACAGTCTCCCAGGGCGACCCAAATCCGCAAAGGAGCAAACGGCTGTACTGTCTGTCAGCTGCCGGTCCTGGGTCCAAGAATGCTGATATGCTCCAATAAGGTACTGTTCATACCCATCTCGTTCTTGGTATAGATATATATTGATGAACACGTACTAATTGTAACATTCTTAAATAGGCCTGTCCCCAGAGACTATACCACTCAGACTGCGTAGAACAAGAAGCAGTCATGTCAGTTGAAAAGAAGGAAGTTTGGCGTTGTAATGCGTGCTGCGCCGGTAGACCAACCTAAGGCAAGAACAAGCACAAGTAGACATGCAACATAAGCCAGATTCCTCAAAGGAGGCCTCTATTGACCTCAAGAATCTCGGAACCTTGACACGAGCTGCGACAGTGCGTGCACATAGTCAAGTTGAGTTTAATATAAAAACATGGCATACTCATATAAGCAGCCACCTAAGTAGGTGGCTACTTCTGACCAGCATCTTGTCGAGCCCTGCCCAAAGGGCTGATTTGAGATGCTACTATAAAACCAAATGCACCAAGCGGAGACGAAGAGAGCAGTGCTTCCGAGTCACTTTAGCTCTGGGCGTCTGTCGGGAGCACAGGCGTCGATTGCGGTTTTGATTGACGGAGCCGATGTGAGTGAGTAATGGAAGACAAGCTGGGATGAATACGTTAAAGCTCGTCGATAGAAATACGAAGATGATACATGTATCCTAACCAAGATGCTGGGCCCCAGTGAGATATGAGGCGGGTGTAAAATGTTTGAATGGTATCAACGAAGCATTAGATTTTACTATACATGAAGTTCTTGCAGTCAACGATATTTCCCAGTAACCCATGAGCCGATTTTGTTTGCTTTTATGGAGTTTAATACATGTGTCATTCGCTCATCCCTTATTCCCTGATCCAATCAACCCAGCTTCTTAATTACGAGTCCGTAGCATACGACGAGCCACGGTGGTCATTCTTCTGTGGTATTAAAACTTATACTTGCCCTCCCGTCTCCTCTCGCTGTGCTCCTTCTCGGTTCGCTGCCGCTTATTGCTCTCTTCCGCAATCATTTGGCTCAAATCGTCATCATACGCCC